ATGAATTTATCACTTTCAGTCACTATGACATGCTGGCTCTCCCTAAGCTACTTGCCAGTCTGCTTCTGCATGAAATGCCACTTAAAGTATGATATTTAACAAAGAAAAAAGAAGGAAGTAGGGTGGTGGTGCTAAGGATGGATTTTGCTTTCCTTAAGATACTGCTGCAAACTGCAGCGGTGATGCCACATGGTAAACTGCAAGAATTCAGAAGCTGACTCACAGGCTGCAGAGGCAGATGCACAGCTGGAGACAGCAACCTCCTCAGCTGTTCCAAGCTAAGCCACACTGCTAATCAGTCTGTGCTCCCGATCTCATTCCGCTGTAGAGCTGGAGTGCTAGTGACAGGTACCACTAAGGCTGTCAGTTTCTATTCTGAAGCCTTATTCTCAAAGGCTCATGCTTTTCTGAAGCGTTCTGAAAACACTGTCTTGAAAACAGAGGTGTCTCAGTCTCCATATCACAGATATTCTTTTTGCATAAGCACTTTGAAACCAATGTAGTCCTTAAAAAAGAGGCTCTCATTTTAATACATTTTTTTAAAAGTAATAAATATGTTTTTTCCACTTTTTTGATTTAAAAATGCAACTTTTTACTGAAACTTGAAAAACAAGCCAGCTGAAGGCAGATTATAAACAGAGGAATTCACCTGAAAATGTGAAAGGGTCAAAGGTTCTGAGCAAACAAGAGTAGCATTTCGACTACACTGAGCTAGAAGGTGCACGTCGCTGTCTGAAGGCCATGGACTTGCTCTTGTCAATTCCTAGAGACCAAACTGAGACAAGCGACAGCTTCTGGGTTAAAGAAACTTCTGATCTGCCAAAGTAAACAGGGTTACTGACGCGATAGGATATAACTGGTGGTAGGAGATTCTTTTCTCTTTGAGTGTACAACTTTAAACTAATTCGAAAGGGCCAGCTCAGAGACAAGATTACTAACTTCCTGAAGTGTAAGGAAATCAGTTCAGCTATAGGTTATAAAACTGCTACAGGAATAACTAGCTGCTATTTTCCACTCTTGTTCTCTATATTGGATCACACTAGAAATGCACAAAGCTAGGCTTAAAGCAGCCTCAAATATCTAAATAAAACACCGGAGTGGTCTATGATCATTACAGTTTTTTTGAATTTGCAGTAGTAAATTCTTGTAAACTACCTCTCACGATTATGAATTATTATTTTTCTGCCTATTCACTCCTGGACCAGTTAATAGTGTAAATAAAGGACATATGCTATGCTTTACTCAATGTAGTATTTTATTCCTTGCTTAGGCGCTTTCTTCAGAGAACAGTGTGTATCTGAGGGAAGGATTTTGCATAGCCTACGTAATAATCTATCCACAAACAAACAAACATGAAACCCAGGACCAATTCAAGCTCATGGTCTACAACTCCTAAGCTTTGTTTAGTTCTCCTGCTAAGCCTGTGAAACCTAACAATGATAGGCAATACTTGTAAAAGATATCATGAGCATTTACTCTTTACAATTCAGCCCTCTCGCATTGTATGTAGATTTCACAGAGCTTTGCACCATTGGCCTTTGTAAGGTCTCCAATAGACATTTGGAACTCGGAGAGAGCATCTTAAAGGGATGGAATAGGATCAGGATTCCTGGCATTATCTGAAGTGTGGCTGGATTAGGGTGTTTGTCATGGAGGGATCAGGTTAGGTTTTTCCCTTTCCACAGGAGCAGGCAGGCAGACTCACTAAAACTGCCCAAGTTTATTTTCGTTTTATGGTTGAGTCAAAGCAGCGGGTTATGTAATGTACAAATCTGCTCAATCCATCAGTCCTTCAACACGGTAAAGTGGGAGCATTATAAAATACTATACACAGGACTACACTGGGCCAGGCTGTGTGTATGTTATGCAAACATACATAACATTTGTGGGTGCCATTACCCTATAGCAGAACTCTCTCTCTGCTTGTACAAGCCCTAAACAGCTAGTAAGCACTCTGCAAGGGTGAAAACAATCCTCTCTGCTGACTTTGGAAGCTGCTATGTAACTCAAAGAGGTTGGTGAGTTCACCATGTCACAAAAATACACAAGGATAAACGTAGTCATTCCCCTATACGAGTCATCCTTCTGGGTCTCAGGGAACCAGTCAGAATGCTCCTTCCAAGTCTCCCAAAATCTGGAATTCTGCACACTCCCAAGACTCAGAGCACAAGCAGCTCAAGCCTATTCCTCCTTTGTCCTTGGTAATGAATCAGCATTCCTCCAGCCGACGCTTCTCTAGCCAGCACAGCAAAAGCTCAAAGTAGATCAACTGCAGTTATCCAACCACAGTAAGTGCATTTTAAAATAAATAAATAATCAACGGCTGGTTTGAAAAAGAAACTGGAGAAGTGCTTTATAAATGTAAATAACTGAACTTCAAGAGGGGGGTGAAGCTGCATGAAGTCAAGACAAGTACCTACATATCTATCTATATCTAAATCTATAAGGTATTTGTACTGCACTAGCCGTGGCAGAATGCAAGCATGATGCATACTAATGATGGTCCACCTTTGGCTACACTATACATAAGTGATTTATTAATCCCTCTTCCATTAACATCAGACTGTGATCTCACTCTTGTGATAGCCAGTGCTCTCCATTTGCTAGAGACAGGTGGACCTCAATGTATTTGGAGATCCATTGCAGATGAGAATCTCAAAGGATAAGATTTTGCCCCCACTGAAATTAATACTAAAATTCCAATAAACTTAATCGGGGTTTTAGACTTCCCAAAGCTGCTTTCATTTTCTTTTTGTCTTCCATCTGCCAGACTTCTCAAGTCTGCAAAAGAGTGCCAAGACTCTCCTAAAACCAATTTTCTTAAAGAATCTTTGCAAGTACCAAAAATATTGTGAGGGAAAATCTCCTTCCTGGTAAGCCACAATGTAGGTCCAAGTCCTACTGTTAAAAGAGGAATGAAGACGTCAAAAGGAATGTCAGCTTTTCCTGTGAAACAAGAATCTATCTCAAAACTCAGAAAAGTGTTAGGTTAGATTATTTTAGAATAAAGGTACAGGGTCCTCCTGGTTTGATTGTACCAGTCCACCTTCTGCCTATTCTTTAAGCATAGAGTAAGAATAGACATACAATGCAAAACTTATAGATAAGTATAACATTAAAGTAGGGATCCTTGAAGTAGGATGTCTTGAAGCGGCTAGGGAGGGAGAAAGGTATCTTCTGTACTTACGGAACACTGTTTGCTCCATGTGCATTCAGAGGCTTAAACCAGACAAAGGGATAACATTTCCACTGTGAAAATGCTGCACTCAGACACGCTTCAGGCCGTAGAAGAAAAACGTAAAGTAAATTGAATTTGTTGAGGTGAGCAGAATGTAATCTCTAACCCTGGAATCAGGCAAGCATATCAACATTATCAGCTTCTTTATGCCAATAATACCCCAGACCTGTTATTGGCAAGAGAAGGACCTCAATGTTGCATCTCCTGTGAACAATACCTAGCACAAACCACACAGCTATTTCTCTTCCATAGTTTTTTTTCCAAATACTATTTTGAAATTATTGCAAACTGTTACTAAAAGCTTGATCTTGGTAGCCCCAGTCACAGAGACAAATTCCAGTAAATTCGCATGCTGTAAAGGGAAATAGTTGTAACAACTGCACTTTCGAATGGTCACAGATAGATGAATATAAACTGTGGCTCATATCCTGTCTGCAGCACCACTGAATGAGCCTTCCCTGCTCTGTCCATATCTATCCGATCTGGCACGTGCTAAGGATGGTATCACAAGCGTTGTGAGCTTTAACACACACAAACAAGCATCTCGCACTGTGTTACAGCCAAGCATAATGAAATAGCCAAATGACTAAAATGGACGGTTAAGGCAATGTTAGAAGCTGACAAACAGCTCTTAACCAGGTCCAGATGCTTTTTCTTTCTGCATAATTTGAAATCTAACATTTCCAGGCACTGCACGCCATTCAGTTCTTTTCCCTCCAGCTTGAACTTGCATGCTGGAACCATTATGCTAATGATCTCCAAGGACCTAGCATTGTTGTTGCTTAGGAACAAAAGTTTCACAGGCTGAGGAAGCGGAGTTGGATACAGAGACCCTGGAGCTGAGGAAGTCCTTTTGCCACTCCTCCTTCTCCCCCTTCCCCTCAACCCTGCACGCACACATACATAAGTTTCTTGAAGGGCTGCCACTTTCCATCAAGGAAGTAAGATTCACAATTTGCAGGACGGTGAAAAAGAAATTGTCCTGTGCTCTCTGCTCACAGATTTATTTACAGACTGAAAGACTAATTCGTTACTCAAAGAAGAGTAGACAAAGGACAACTGCATAGTAACGGACCATGAAGGCTCATCTCACACTACTGAAAAAAGCAAGCTGCTTGTGACATCTATACCTCGCCTTCTAAGTCTTCCTAGCTGTTCGCCGGTAAGATCTTATGCAAGGGGGCAGTCTGGCAGAATTGTTAAGATGAAACAGTATTTTTGTTTATTCTTGGTGAGCCTTGGTTTTATACGTGACCTTGCACTGTGTGATAGTACAGTGGCTCTGAAGCGATCGGGAAAAGTAAAGAAAAATAAGGAACAAAACCTCTTTCTATCTATTGCTTATGGCAGGATTTAGTCTAAACTTGCCTGTTAGCAAGAGTCTGCATTTAAGATAGTGAATTAATCTCTCTTCCACAGATCGTATCCAACAACAAAGAAATGCTAACAGGGTTGTAAGCAGGGAAATAAAAACCTACCCTAGCTGGAACTGGTTGGCTTCATGCAAAATCATTCACTGTACAAATGCTGGTTTTAAGCTTTATATTAAAAGTATTTCCATAAAGCTATTCCATGGGTAAATTAAAACATGTCACCTCACTGCCTTCCTGCTGCCAGAGAGGTGCAGGGCGTGCGTAGCTCAGCTGGGCTTCGCAAGCCTGCTCTGCAATACACAGAACTTCAAGGAGGAAAGACAGAGGAAACTTTTCTCACGGACTAGTTCAAGGTGGGATCAAGGGTTCTGTGCAGCTTTGGGTGCAGCGAAGCAGGAAGCACCAACCTATGGGAGGAAACGAACAGGCAGAACTGCAGAGGAGGAGGCCCTGAAGCATCCAGTGTCACAGGCACAAGTCCTGCTTTGCCTTTCCCAGCCCTGTGCTGAGAAAGGGGGAAGAAAGGTTCAGGCAGAAAAGACGGCATCATCAGGGTCCAAATCTGTATTCTTCTGGGATCAGGTCTCCTTCTCCGGACAGGCTTAAGCTACAATGAGTCATGACCCTGTGCAAGGGCTTAAGTGCAGATAAGGAGTAACCTCCAGCCCTTCCTTGCCTCAGAGTCACTGCCAGTCCTGGTCCTGGCGCTCACGGGCTGCTCCCTTCCTGTAGCTCCCAGCAACGCAGCGCCACAGACACCATCATGCCCTTGACACACAGCTTCTATTCATTTCTGTATCTGGTCAGCCTCAGAGCTCTGGGCCTGTGAAACACTCCTTAAAGCTCTGAGGTTAGCCCTGGGCTTTCAAAAGCCAATTCAGATTGAAGACTTTAGCAAGCGTGGATAAAAAGGGAAA